GTCTACTACAGTAAACCATTGAATCAGTGGTTGAATAGTGACTTAATGTATAGTTAGTTGGGGAACAGGGTCTGTTCTAGATTAGACTAGCATCTGTTTCTGTTGTGAGTAGCAGCGTTGGTGAGGGGTGAAATCCTAAGACTTGTTTTTGCCCATCCTAAAGGTATGAAATAATCTAAAATGCAACAGAATTCTGTAAATGTGGTCATTTCCTTCCCTCACAAACTGCTGACCACTTTCCAAAACTTCAAAAAAATGAGAATGAATATATGTGTCCAGTGATCTGAGAAGTAAAATGTTCTTCCAGATAATACACATTGTGCAACAAAAAGTGTGTTCAGACATATTTCAGAGTTTTCTTTTCTTGTTAACCTTTCTAGAATTTTGACTTGTCAAAGAATGTGTCCTTTCGAATTTCAGTTCTTGAATTATGAAGGTAAGAATAATGGAGAATCTAATAAATGATAAGTTTCTGAATAATCAAGCAGTGGTCTGAATTATGCTAAAAGTACTACTGCAGCAGAAAAAGTTAATAAAATTAATACAAATAAAAATCTCGGTGTCAGCACAAACTAATTTTCTCCTTTCTAATATTGATTTGTACTTTGATCCAGTATTGACAATTATCTGAATAAAAAGTCTGGACTATGATGACCTGTGATTAATCTTTTGAATTTTATTCATATATATATAGCCATTTTTTCTGTCATAATTATAATATCATTATAATATAATAATTAAAAACAAACCAAATCTCAAAATCAAATGCAATGGAGGACAGTTATAAAACAGTAGCTCCCGACCACAGCTAACCCCAAACCAAATTTTAGAAATGTTTTCTCTACTTTTTATCTACCTACAACATGCTAAGTGGGTACTACAAATTTCTGGTGGAAGAAAAGTCCAATGGAATGAGCACCACCAAAAGGCCAACTGACGGTAGTGACCCTTTTTGTGCTTGACCTGCTGATAGGCTTCATTTCTGAATCTTAACACATGGGCATATTTGGGTGTGAGGGAGAAACCAACCCAAATACACATTGCATTTGGGCTTGCAGACCTTAATAAGTAGTAAAATTTGTGGCAGTACACATGATATTTGGTGGGAATATTAGAAAGATTTCTTTCGACTATGGCATGCAGGATGTGGTTTCATTTCCAATTTTCTCTTTAGTTTGAACATACTTTGCTGTGATATTTATGGCAAATTACTACATCTTCTATATAAATAAAAATGTAATGTTCGTTTGTGGGATTAATATAATTCAAAAACCATTGGGCGAATTGACACCAAACTTGGACACAATACACCTATCAGGCCAACAAGTGACCATCACGCATAAAAACACTGAAAAACACAGAGGAAGAGATTTAAAAAGACAACAAATCAAAAATGCATTACACCGCATGCACAAAACCACATATATACACAAACACACATATATACACATATACACAAATACAGACATATGCATATATATACACTCTCAAAACATATATACAGAAAGGGGGAGGGAGGGGGGAGAGAAGCAGGGAAAGAGGGAAAGAAAGAAAGAAAGAAAGAAAGAAAGAAAGAAAGAAAGAAAGAAAGAAAGAAAGAAAGAAAGAAAGGTAGAGAAGGAAATAAAGTGAATGAAGAAAGGAAAGAGAGGGGGAAGGAAAGAGAGAAGGAAGGAAACCAAGAGCAAAGGAAGGGAGGAAAGAAAAAGAGGGAGGGAAGGTTGGCCACAGCAATGCGTGGCAGGTACAGCTAGTATACTCATACATGAGTTGAACAAAAAATTGAACCAGAAATCTGGGTCAATTTATACACAGGTTGATGCAGCAATGCCACTTCTGACCTTTTGTAATGCATGCGTGAAAAAGGCAGGGCAGCTCCTTAGCACTTCCCTGTCTCTGTGTAGAGAGCAGAGGTGGTTGGGGCTTTTATAATGTTATTGGGACAGACTAAAGTTATTCTCTTCTAAGTGGCTCAGAATAGAGAGAGGTTATTTTGCTCAGAAGTAAGCTACTAAAAAGCACCCACCCCTTGCCCAGACTGCCTCCAGTCTCATCTGTTGCTACTGCTGTGGCTACTGCCCTATGCTCACACTCCTGCTTTGGCTTTGGTGATGTTTGCATGCTTGTCTCACAGTCAACATGACAGCTATTTCTTCTTGATTATATGTTAGATACTACAAATCTAAGCAGGTAGATTGCCACAAATGTTCAGCTGTGTAACACTGGCCAGATATAACTAAAAATGCTATCATGTCTGTAGATCAAGGGAACTGCAGACTGGATTGTAAAGTAATCTCTTTGCAAGTATCTTGCTGACAATGCAGTGAATAACAGTAGCTAAAAGGGGGTTTTCAAGAATAAATCCTGCCAAATTATTAATCTTATTTTTAAAATAAAGTCACTAGTTTAGCAGATAGCGGGAATGCTATGGAAGTCATTTATCTGGATTTCAGCAAAGCATTTGATAAGGTTACCCATAATGTTTTGATTAGCAAATGGATTACATTTGGAATAGATGGAGAAACTGTGCTCAAAAGAATTGTTGTCTATGGCAGCCCTTCAAACTGAGTGGAGTGCCTCAAAGTTTTGCCTTACTGCCATTCCTCTTCAACATTTTTGTCAATGGACTAGCTGTCCCCTGCCATGTTTTGCTGTGACCCAGTCTGTGTATATGTGTTTTGTGTGTGTATATGTGTATAATGTGTGTTTGCATATATGCGTGTGGTTTTGTTTATGCGTTGTAATGTATTTTTAAATTATTATTATTATTATTATTATTATTATTATTATTATGGATTTTTAAGTCTCTTCTGCTGTTTTTTTCAGTGTTTTTATGAGTGATGGTCACTTGTTGGCCTGATAAGTGTATTGCAGGCATGTAGCGGGGGGGGGGGGGGGAGGGGGCTTTGAGGGTTCAGCCCCCCCCCCCCCGAAATTCTCATGGTGGTCTGCGAAAAGGCCTTACTGGTACATTATTTAAACTGTTATGTTTATTCATATCATGATCTGATCACCATACTCAATATATCCCATATGCATGGGGGTAATGATACAAAAGGTTTGCTAGGGTAGACCCTCTTTCACTCAGACTCAGCCCCCCCCCCCAAAACTCAGCCCCCCCGAAACCCCCCTGAAAAAAATCAGCTGCTACATGCCTGGTGTCTTGTGTCCAAATTTGGTGTCAATTCGTCCAGTGGTTTTTGAGTTATGTTAATCCCACAAACAAACATTACATTTTTATTTATATTGATGTAGATAAATGAAAGGAATAAATCCTTGTCAAGTTTGCAGTTGACACAAACTGGATGGGTCAACTGCAACAGTGAAACAGGAACAGAATGTAAAACAACCTATATAAACTAGAAAATTGGGCAAAAAAAGCATACAATTAAATTTAATGGAGCCAAATGTGAAATCAAAATGCACTGGTATAATATAGTGCATAACATGGCTCAACTGTACTTTATATAAAAATAACCTTGGAATTATTGTTTATAAATTGAACATGAGCTGGTAATGTGATCTTGCAACAAAAAAGACAAATGCTATTTTAGCTTGTGTTAATAGAACAGAGTTTCCAAGTTGAGAGAAGTATTAATCCCACAATATTCTGGGCTAACCAGGCCTCATCTGGAATAGTGCTTTCAGTTCTGGTTACTTCATTTAAGAAAGATATACTGTAAGCAGTTCGGAATTCCCCAGTGGAAAACATACAGACATCAGAAGACTTGGTCATTTTCTCCATATGGCTAAAATGCATGGGGATTTTTTTTTACTTCAGCTGATATTTATTTATTCCATTCAGTCTAAAAGTGTCCAGATTTGTTAAAATTAAATATTTCATTGCTCTTAGGGGGAACATGGGCAAGCCTGGTATTGCACTGAGAAGAGAACATTTTGAGAGGAGTCAGGGCTGCAGTTGATGTAGCCAACTAATATTCTAAAGGATCATACTTTGGTTTGTAATTTCATGGCAGAAAATCTTGTTTAATGTTATTCTTCAGCTCTAATTTTGCAGATACATTTTGCGACACATCCTGTTAAATGTGATTTTTTTTTTTGCTACATGAATTTTTAATACAATAGTCTTATTGACCTTACATTTCTTGAATAAAATATGTAAAGTCGGGAACCAATTTTAAACACAAGGAGTTTGATCCAGAGAAAAGATAACAAGACAGCATTGATAGAAATTGACTTTCTTGTTCCCCCATCACTATAGCCAGGCTCCTTGGCCCTCAAACAGACCCTCCCAAGGAACAGAAGATCTTGCTAAATGGAATGAGTGCGGTATTGAGGCTGTGGGTTAGGGAATGTCCGGAAATCTGACAAAGGCAACTCTTCACATTAAGGAGGGGCGGGGGGGGGGGGTAGCTCAGTCTGCCCTGCTTTTAGCATCAGTCTCAAGCCATGTTTGTTTAGAAGGCTGCAGCAGGAGGTATCATCCTCTGCAGGCTAAATTACATGCCTTTCTGTGGGCCCTGCCCACTTACTAGAGGGGTTTACAATGTGTTGGGGCCCCTGGTGGCACAATAGGTTAAACCCTTGTGCCAGCAGGACTGCTGACCGAAAGGTCAGCGGTTTGAATCTGGGGAGCAGGGTAAGCTCCTGTCTGTCAGCTCCAACTTCTCATGCAGGGACATGAGAGAAGCCTCCCACAGGAAGGTAAAACATCCGGGCATCCCCTGGGCAGCATCATTGCAGGAGGCCAATTCTCGCACACCAAAAGTGACTTGAGCTCCTGATGTGGGGGGAAAAACCCAATATGTTTAGGCTTGTGTTGTTAACTCCTGGTTGTTTATACACATATTTATAATTGCTGCTAAAGTATCTATGCTTTATGCTTAAAGCACTATGTGTAAAAGGGGGGAAAGTTATGTAGCATAATTTGTGCAATAACCTGGTGATATATTTAATATAAGCAAATCCTTAGGAAGGACGTGTACAGAATAAGCATGAAAAATTAAAACAATTAATAATACAAATTGTTATCATTGCAGGTAACTAAATGACCATGGAATCTGGTGCAGACAACCAGCAGGGTGGAGACGCAGCTGTTACAGAAGCAGAAAATCAACAAATGACGGTACAGCCACAAATAGCAACATTAGCCCAGGTACAAAGCTGGCCTGATTTGGCCTGGGTGCTATTTTCTATATTTCAATATTCTATTTCCATTAAAAAACAAATCCTCCTCTGTTTTTTTTTTTAATTGGAAGAATCTTCTTGAATGTATGACACTTGGTCTGTCATACTCAAACTCTTACAGATTTCCTCACTCTCAGCTCCTATACAAAAAAAACAAACAAACAATAGCTGTCTAGAAAGGTCTGGAAAAGCTTGATGGGAATGCAGTCCATCCCCAAAAACTGCTGTCAGTCAGGGCATGCATGTCTGCACACACATTCCCTCTCTGGTCCCTTGACTGCAAGCACTACCAGAAAGGCTACTTAGTTAACAATTAGAGGATGATGCTCACATTGGCATGCTACCATTTTTAATAAAAGTGTGGCAGGAGCCACCAGCTACATTTTGACCGTATTTATTCGAACAGTCAAACATGTTGTTAAAAAATTACATAAGCACAAAACTCCCATTTAGTCTTAAAGCGAAATATTGCAACAGTGTTATTCTTATAGAATTTGACAGATTTATAGGCTCTTACAATATATTACATTAATTGCTACCAAATGAAGCAATTTCTGAGCAGAAAGGGGAAATGTCAGAGCACCTTGGCTCTTTAAACTGGTATGTTCACTAACCTTTTGCCAACATACATACCTTGCTTTCCTTCCTTTCTGAAATGTAAGGGTTAAATCAAAGCCAGAAGTGTCAAATTAACCATACTTTCCCATTTTGTCCAAGCTAATAATATAGTTACCAGCTTCAGAATAAACCAGGATCTCCAACCAAAGTCAAATTGTGGTATAAGATTTTATTTTTCCCAAAACTGGTGATTTGTTTTTCCAATCCAAATTACATGGGAAGCTATGGTCATTTGCTCCCTTATTTCTTATTTATTTATTTACTTATTTATTTACTTCTTTTGTATACCGCATTTATCAGCCTTGTGGCGACTCAATGCGGTTTCTTGCTACATTATGCAAAAAGATGAGAGAATGGGCTGCATACACAGGCAAAAGTTTGTCCATATCTCATCCTATTAAGTCAAGTATGTCCACCACAGTTTTGCTTTACAATGGTCAAGAGCATTCTTGCATTGCTATAGTAATGGCTCACATTGTCTCTTTCTTTTCTAGGTATCTATGCCAGCAGGTCACGGAACATCTTCTGCTCCCACTGTAACCTTAGTACAGCTCCCCAACGGGCAGACGGTTCAAGTCCATGGTGTTATTCAGGCTGCCCAGCCATCGGTGATTCAGTCTCCACAAGTCCAGACAGTTCAGGTACATGGAAAAGAATTTTAAAACCGCACTATCTCATGAAGCATACCTTAATTAGTCTTTAGTGTCATTTGTTATCATATGCCTATGATGTGTCCATTGAGTTTTAAAAGGAAAATTCTGTATTGATTTTGAACAGGGCCAGAGACTTGAGAGCTAGAATGAATCTTCTCCCCAATTTGATCTCATCCCTTTAAAATTCCTCATGGCTCTTAATAATTATTTATTTATCGTATTTCTATCCCGTCACTTCTCAACCCCCGAAGGGGGACTCAGGACGGCTTACAATGGGCACTGTTACGATGCCACTACATAACAATTACAATAATAAAACCACAATTGAACATAAGTCATAGTTAAAAAACAATACATAAGCAATCATTAAAACCGTAAAACAATCTCATCAGCAGTATTGCCGTTCCAGTCAATATCTTTGTAAAGTGCTGCTTGCATCTATTGTCCGAAAGCCTGGTCCCAAAACCATGATTTTAATTTATTTCGGAAAGCCAGGAGGGAGGGAGCCTATCTTACCTCAATCAGGAGTGTGTTCTATAAGCGGGGAGCCACCGCTGAGAAGACTCTGTCTCTTGTCCCCGCCAGACGCATCTGTGCTGTTGACGGGAGTGAGAGCAGGGCCTCCCCGGATGATTTTAGATTACAAGGTGGGACGTAGGGGTGGATGCGTTCAGACAAGTAAGCTGGGCCAGAACCATATAGAGCTTTATAGGTCAAAACTACTTTTAATTGGGCTCAGAAATGGACCTGCAGCCAGTGGAGCTGACATAACAGGGGGGTGGTATGTTCCCTGTATGTCGCCCCAGGTAGTAATCTGGTTGCCAACTGTTGGACTGGCTGAATCCATTTTGTTCTTAATTCTCCTTTTGAGGTGAGGACTCTGAAGGACACAGGCAGGGTCTGGTTTCAGCCACAAGAGATTTTTTTTTAGAAGGGAAGTACTGTGATGAAAGAAGTCTGCTTGCAGAAAAAGCCCGGGAGTTCTGACTTAATTTTGTAAGGAGCTGTTGGAAATGTATGTGTAAAGGAAAAGAGTATTTGAACTCCTAGACAATGGGTTCTACGCAATTGCCAATTAAGCTGCTATAAACAAAACAGTGGTTTACTTAGATGTTTAGACAGCAGAGCAGTAAATGTAACAGCTCCATCTCTGTGGAGATGCTTGTCTTAACTTGGTAATGTTGGGACTGCCCAAGTCTCAAGTCCTCAATGAGGAACAGTTTAGTTAGCTCAGTATAGACTAAGGGTTTCACTTGCCCCATGTCTCCTGTATGACAATTGGGAATGTATCTTTTTCTTGGGTTGTTGTAGGTTTTTTCGGGCTATATGGCCATGTTCTAGAGCAGTGGTTCTCAACCTGGGGTCCCCAGATGTTTTTGGCCTCCAACTCCCAGAAATCCTAACAATTAGTAAACTGGCTGGGATTTCTGGGAGTTGTAGGCCAAAAACATCTGGGGACCCCAGGTTGAGAACCACTGTTCTAGAGGCATTCTCTCCTGACGTTTCGCCTGCATCTATGGCAAGCATCCTCAGAAGTTGTAAGGTGTTTTTCTTCTCTGTTTCTGCCGTCATTCTGATTGGTTGTGTAGAATGGATACTTTTCTATTGCAAGTCTTTTTTAATCTGCCTTCTTACACTTTAGTATGGAGAGTATGTTCTGTGTGCTTTGAGATCTCTCTCTGTTTGTATGTCAGGAGAGATGTAGTGATTGAGCCTTTCCCTTTCTTGAAACCTTAGAAGAGATGGGTGTTAGAGTAGCTCAGGCCCAGTTCTTGATTATTAAGAAATGCAGTTATTTCTTATTATTGTAAATAAATCTTTTGTGATTGTTTAAGATTGGACTCTGCATGTTTGTCACCTAAGTTCTGAATTCTTTGCAACCACATCACATGGCACTTCATGCTCTGCTCACTAATGAGCTGATGTTCAGCTTTTGTATCCTGTTTGATTTTGGATGCTCTGTTTTAATTTAGGGTAGTTTTCCCTAACAAAAAGGGCCCAGATATTTCTTTGGAAAGTGTGAGTTTGTGCAGTTTGATGGGCATGAGCTGAGGAGAATTTGTCAGGTTCAGATATGCAGTCTGGAATCCAGACTGCATATCTGAACCAGATATGATTCAAGCATTTGAAGTGATGTGAGCAAGCTTTGGTTTTGGGCCAATTCAATTCTGGATTCTTATTTTGATTTTGTAGAATTGCTTTAAGTGCAGGATTACATCTAAAGGTCTTTTCTCCTGAACCTTCACAAACAACCCTTGACAACCCCTGCACCTTGAAAAAAGTACCACCACCCCCACCCCCACCCCCGCCTAGTACCAACAAAGTGTATTTTAGGAAGCTACTGGGGTAAAGAAACCACCTAATGTTATTATACTACATCTTAAAGTTTTCCTTTGTTTATAAAAAGAAATAGCATGTAGGAGGCAAATTGTACCCCCCAAAGAGTATTTTTTGGGCCGCTTTTCAGGATTCAGTGCAATTGGACAAGATCTGTGGAGCCTTCTGGACCATGGTTTGTCCATCCCTTTTTATATTTTTTAAAACAAAATTAATTTGTTTTCCTGATTGTGTTTCAGACATAAGTATTTTGATAATCTCCAATAAGCAGATTTCTCAAGCTAGTGTTTGCACAGTTGTTTGTATCAACTATATTCTGTTTCAGCTGCCCCGTCACCAAAATGAGATAATTTTGATAAGGACCATTGTTCTCTGTTTGCACTTTATGAGTAGCTCCTTTGGTGCATACATTGAAAGCTAGATTCCAGATTTATCACGTTTGACAAGTAAAGCCCACCAAAATTTAGCAGGCATGCAGGGATTTCTAATTACAGTGAAACAAGATAAAGAAACTGATAAGAAAAGTATTTGGAATGTAGAAGGTGAGGATTAAAGAGAAGAATGCAGCAAGAATGTTGAAATATTGAGTTCGCTGTTTCTCAATCTTTCAGAGTTCCATGAAATATTGTGTAAACCTTAAGTGTGCTTTTCCCCCTGTCCTACAGATGAAGGGAACGGATTGGCACACTAATATATATGTATAGAAATGTTCTCTGTTCACGCACCCTTAAAAACATTAAGTTTAGAACAGTAAAGTTTTGAAACATAATAATTTTTCCTATATCCTATTTTTATGCTGAACAGTCAGCCAGTTCTGCAAATGCTCACCAGTCTTCTACTATAAGCATTGTATATTTACTGCCTGCTACCAAGCACCTCTGTTGTTTTTGGAGTTCTGTTGTTGTCCCAAAAGTTAGGATTATTAAAGCCCATAGTACCCAATTTCCTGTGAAAAAAAATCCTCTATGATTCAGAATGTCCTCAAGTAACAATTTTGGGTTTTTTTGTTTGTTTGTTTGTTTTGTTTTGTTTTTTGTCATGTCAGGAGCAACTTGAGAAACTGCAATTTTGTTGACCTGCAGGCTATTCGCATACATAGAGATGCTCTTTGGATGCACACGTATTGAAAGTTTTCCAACTCTGTATCTCTTGCTTATTACTTCTACTTACAGTAGAAAACATGCTTATGTTCTTCATTTTAGATATCCACCATTGCAGAGAGCGAAGATTCACAGGAATCAGTAGACAGTGTCACAGACTCCCAGAAACGCAGGGAAATTCTCTCCAGGCGACCTTCATACAGGTAGTCATTTAACTTTTTCTATACACTCTCAGCAGATCAGCATATGCAAAGTTGTCAACCACTAAGGATGTCTTCCTATAATTACCATCTGGTAGCAAGTCAACTGGAAGTCCTTTAACCATAATTGTTAGTTTCCTTAACAACCAAGATGTGTTTGTTTCTTATTTTGGAGTCCAGTGCAGGATTTACACAGACAGCATCCCAGTATCTGTCACCTGTGTGTTAATGTATTGTCGAAGGCTTTCATGGCCAGAATCACTGGGTTGTTGTAGGTTTTTTCGGGATATATGGCCATGTTCTAGAGGCATTCCCTCCTGACATTTCACCTGCATCTATTGAAAGCATCCTCACTACCTCTGAGGATGCTTGCCATAGATGCAGGTGAAATGTCAGGAGAGAATGCCTCTAGAACATGGCCATATAGCCCGAAAAAACCTACAACAACCCTGTGTGTTAATGGTTCACCATATCTTATCTCAGAGCATAAATGAGGATCCTATGTCCCATTGGCCAGTTATAGTCCTCAAGTCTCCATTTTATCCCTTGAGATCTTAGGCAAGGCTTCTTCCTCTTCCTGGGGTATCACCCTTTTCAAATAAAGGAGATTGGTAGAGTGAACAACTGTATTTGTGAATCTCCATCATTGCTAGTCTGGAGTTTCTAGAATCCAAGCCCAAGGGACATTTTCTCCTTCTGTCATGATAGCCTGCTCATAGTAACAAGCTGGGATATAGTTATAGCAGATACAGTTAATCTTGAAGTGTTTAATTGCAGGTCCTGGCAGCTCAGCAAAATATTTTCTCTCTCTCTCTGAAAATTATCTTATTCCATAAAATGATAGCAGTTCCTAATTTATATAAGCACGATTTAAAATATTTTTTCCATTTATGAAGTATTGATTTATTGACCAAGAAACCCTGACAATAAAAACACAGAGTATTGTGAAAAAAGGAAGATTCCATCTTAGACATAAATGGAAAAGGAATTTTAAAACATTCCAGTACCATCCTGGGCTCAAAGCAACCACATTATGGAATACTGTGTATAGTTGAGTCATAGCACTTGAACAGAGATAACATAGGGTTAGAAACATTGGAATTAAGGGCCTAAATCAACTTGTTAGCCCTAATTAGAGTAGACCCATTAAATCAGTGAAACTTCAATAAGTTTTCATTGGCCACATTCCCATTTGTTAATGAATTTGGCAGTTGGATTTGGGCCAAAATTATAAACAGACTGAAGCCAGTCTCCTATGACGAAATGTTTTAAAATAGGGCTACTTCTAATAGCTTAGAAAGGGAAAAAACAACGGGAGATATTATAGAGGTGCCCACCATGGCATTACTTTTCCACAGTGGTGGGATTGCTTGTGCCTGTGAGGCAAAGGGCTATGCTGATGGCAGATAGGTTTTTGCTGTGGAGAGACTACACATACCAAACAGTTGCTTGGCAGCAGCTGCTGTAGAAAGATGATATTTGTGGAGGATATCTCAGAGATAACAGCAGTAGCACCATAGCTAGTGCTTGTTAGTACTACCAGAAGACTGCCATGGTAACCTACACCAGAATCCTTTAACCTTCAAAATCATATGATGTGACAGTCCAAAATAAAACAAGATATCACATGTTCTGGGCTCATTGAGTGCCTTCTGAACTGGGGGCATCATCTTATGTCCTATAAGATGGTACTCTCAGTTCAGAAGGCACTCAATGAGCCCAGAACTTGTGATAACTCTGTTGGTCGAGTGGGCTTATTAACAAAAGACCCTCTCCATGTATGTATAGCAGAGTAACTTATTAGCAGCAGCGTGACCCAGCACCAGTAAGCACAAGTGATAAAAAGAACAAAAAACACAGAGATCAATGTTATACCTTCCTTAGGAGGCTTTCATTTGTAGTAAAATAATATGGTTGCACTATTTACAAGAACAAGGTTTCCATCGCACAAATAAAGTTCATTGTACTTTTTTCTTTGCTTCCACGCTGGGCTTCTTTCTCGTACAGATAAACAGCTTTTCTCTTTCAGTGCCTCTTCTCACACCAAACTTACACAGGAGCTTCACACACGATGGCCTTCAACCTGGGACTTCTCTCACCAAAGCTTCTCACACCAGGCCTACTCATACTGAGGCCTACTAACACTGAGCCTTCTTCACACAGGCAAAATAACATTGAGGCCTACTAACACACTGAGGCCCTTCACAGACTGAGAGCCACTAAGCTACACATGCTTATATTGAACTGCTGTTTTGCTGAGTTATTGCATCCGTTTAACCCTTTGAGTGCTTGATTCATATTTTTGTAATTAAAAATACATAATTAATTTTAATATTTCTGACAAACTCTATTAAATATTTCAGAACAGTTGATTCAGTAGAGCAGCCCCAAAAAAGTACTCATTCTCATGAGGTTCAAAAAAGGGGTGCATCTTCTAATTGATGACATCCTAGAATCGCTTCTTTTTTTTAATGGGTGAGAGAAGAGGAGGGAAAAAAATGTTTCTCCGTCCTCTCTCAACTGCTGCCTCCACTTCCCACAGCGCCAGAAGCACAGAGAGGGAGACCCCAGATTTGGGGCACCATTAGGTTTGTTATCCAACATATAGGACATTCTGGGTATCCTGATCTCCAATTCCTCAGTCCTTTTCTCTGCATATCTAATGTGACTTGGTGGCCATTGTGATTGCCCAGAAACATGGTAGCTACTAGAACTGGGTGAGATATCTTCAATGTTCTTTCCCTTTTAGAAAAATCTTGAATGACTTATCCTCAGATGCCCCGGGCGTGCCAAGGATTGAAGAAGAAAAGTCTGAAGAGGAGGCAGCAGCACCTGCCATTACTACTGTCACCGTGCCAACTCCAATTTACCAAACAAGCAGTGGGCAATACAGTATGTAGCTTCTGTTTTTCATTAAATAACTGGAGATGACAAGGACATCGAGATCCTAAATTTTAAAATAAAGACTGTTTGATATTTGTATTATTGGTTTCTCACAAAGTGCTCAGGGACATCCAGTGCTCCAGATTTCCCATTATCACAATTTGAGATGAGGAGTCGGAATTGTTTAGACTACATAGAGAGGACGTATATGGAAAGTGCCAAAAAGATAACCACAATTTGGTTCTAGAGATGCTGCAAGAAAATAGAAATGCGTATAATTCCAGTTGCAAGGGTTACACTTATGCTAAAGGGCCAGATTCTATCCTACCAGCATTGCTAGAGCGATAGCCCTCTTATGATCAACATTCTCTTGCCTGGCTGTTAGGAATTTGTGAGACTCCAAAACACCTGGATGGCCAAAATTTGCCCATACCTGTTATTGTCCTTCAATAAATCTTGCATACAAGCATACATTTGCCTTCTAGTTTCAGTTACCATACAAGAAGCATTGCCACGTGGATCATCTGTAACTTGGCAAACTTTAACAGAAGGAAGGAAGATGTAGTGCTTGTGACACGTCTTTGTCCTGGTCCCTAGTGTTGTCCTGATTTTGTTTTAAGGAGTGGTGTTGCTGATATCCACCATACTATGGCTATGCTGTGGATGCAGATATTGCGTGCAGGAATGGATTGGTGTTATTTGTAATAGAGCTGGGATGTCTATACTAGAAGCATTAGATGTGAGCCCATGCGTGCTACAGAGGAGCTCCGTAAAAGAGAATAAACTAGAATGAATTAGAAACAGAGAAACAAGAGAAGCTGTTTGTGAAGAACAAAAAGGAATCAATATGAAGTAGCAACAAAGAAGCGATTGCTAACATGGAAATCTGGATTAAAAAGCTAAATAGAATTGTTGAAAAGATATGACTAGAAATGTAAATAAAGCAAAGTGAAGTTATTTTTGGACTAGAACTCCAAACTCTGGGCAAGACACATAACACATAATATAGAGAAGAGTGGAAAACAAAATGAACCTTCTTAACCATTGGAATGAACGAATGGTGCCATAGCCCTATCAGAAGTATATTGTTAGTTCTAACAACTTCATTGTGCTGCTGATTAAAAATATTATTACGTAGTTAAAAACTCTGGAGTCATTTAGTAAATACTTGGTAATAATAAAGGAAAGTATTAAAAGATAGAGATTATAAACCTAAAAAATCCCAGACTGCACAATAAACACACATACCAAATCACAATTTCTATATATTGAATTGAAAGTATCTTTGCTTCAATGATACTTTATCATAGTCACAAACAAAATTATACTACTGACCTTGTTTGAAGAACATTACTAAGAGAATGTTGTTTGCTTGCGACTGTAAGAGCTGCCAGTTGCTGCCCAGGAATCAGAAGTGCCATTTTTCCCCCTATCAAATAGTAGATTCCACACACCAAAACGAAAAGTATGTTTAAATGAGACTTTTGAAAAGAAACACAGCCAATCTCAGCTATAATGAATGGTATATGAAATTAGAGGGGATAGCATTAGTAAAGAGGTGACCATCCTGTAGTGGCCAAAAATAATGTGCAAAAAAGAAACAAATGTCTGCATCAGCTGCCGGGATTATATCATTAGGGCAGTGTCTGACTTCATTGGTAATTGCAGTAGATAACATTTTTAAAACCCACAGTATGACATAGAAAACAAAACAGGAGTAAGCCTTGAGACAGACTATTTTTAATTATCTGTTAGGAAAAAAGTCTGGAAATGTATATACGACTGTGAGGACATTACTATTCAAAATGGTGACTGCCATTTCCATGCTTTCAGTTGCTATCACCCAGGGCGGTGCAATCCAGTTAGCCAACAATGGCACAGATGGAGTCCAGGGCCTGCAGACTCTGACCATGACCAATGCTGCTGCAACCCAGCCTGGTACCACCATTTTACAGTATGCCCAGACCACGGACGGACAACAGATTCTTGTACCCAGCAACCAGGTTGTTGTACAAGGTAAGGCTAGAAGAGTCTTATGGTTTTTAATGTTTTTAGTTGGAATTATAAAAGTATGGTTACAAAGTGGGGGAGGGGAACGGGCAGGGGAAGAAGATGTAAAAGCGAGAAAGGGAAGAAAATAGTTAGCATAGGAACATGGACTAGGTATATACATTTATAAAGCTGGTCATATTTCCAAACATACATTTGCTTAACAATGTTTGTAGAATTGACATTATTAGGCCCATGAACAGCTAAAGCAGTGAGAACTTCTGACCACTGAATGATAGAGGATTAATTGTTTATCTTTCAAGCCTTGAAGTATAAAAGTATGCAGGCTTCAACCATGTAGTTGTTAGGACATCAGTGTCCGAGGTGGATTGTATGGTAGGTATCTGGACCCAAACCATATAGCACTTTAAAGGTCAAAACCAACACTTAAATTCAGCTATCAGAATTTAAGACGCAATTGCAGAGCTATCTCTTCCGGCATGCTCACTCAGTCACTTTTAAACTGATTTATCCTGCATTTTATTGGTGTTGGTCTTATGTGGTTTTTTATATATTTTAATAGTGCTCTTTTCTATCTGTCTGTTTTAACTGAGTTATACCCCACCCTCAGCTGTCAGGAGAGGTGGGCAACAAATTATTTATGACAATGATGATTATTATTATTATTATCAACTCTTAAATTGTTTTGCAATTTTCCAGACGTATGAAAGCTAACAGATTTTTTTTTTTAAAAAAAAAAACCTCCTAGCTGCCTCAGGAGATGTCCAGACTTACCAAATCCGCACTGCACCCACAAGCACCATTGCCCCTGGTGTCGTCATGGCATCGTCCCCAGCCCTTCCCACCCAGCCTGCAGAGGAAGCAGCACGAAAGAGAGAAGTCCGTCTAATGAAGAACAGGTTTGTTTCTGTGCAAGGCCAGGTGGAGAGATGTCTCTGCCTCAGACAAATGAAATGGCAAGGCCCAGCTTTCTTACAAAAGGCTTTGGTATAGGATGAAAGTAAATTAGGTACTTGACTATTTCCCAAGTGGAAAAAATTAAGAAGCCCTGATCTAGAGGACGAGAAAATCCCTGAGAGCAATGCTGGCTGATGCCCGCCCTGTCGGTGGAGTGGTAAACCCACTCCAGGTTTTTAGTTTGAACCTTAAAAAACTATCCGGGGTACTAGGCCTATCTGGCTATGGGATTCAGCATCTTGAATCCTTTAAGGTTCATCGTAAAACCTAGAGCATATTTGGTGATGCAGGGCCCTTTTTAAAAAAAGAACAGTAATACATACAACAGAATACTCAACCCTGGCAGCTTGTATGCTTAAAGAAAGTAACATAATGAGAAGCTCAGTGAGCAACACAACTAGCAACCTTTTAAAATGGCACGAAGCTAATTATTTTTCTTCTGTACAGCATTGAGTAATGCAAAAAGTGACTTAAGAAGCAGAAACTGATTTTCACTCCCCCCCCCCCTTCCTGTTGTTCTAGGTCACGGGTCCTCAAACTAAGGCCCGAGGGCCGGTCATTTACCCGGCCCTCACTCAGAGTCAATATAAGTCTGAAATGACTTGAAAACAAAACAAAATAATCCTATCTCATCAGCCAAAGGCAGGCCCACACTTCCCACTGAAATACTAATAAGTTTATGTTCGTTAAAACTGTTCTTCATTTTAATTGTTGTATTGTTTTTAAGTGTTTTTTGCACTACAAATAAGATACGTGCAGTGTGCAAATGCTTTTTTCAAATGATAATCCAGCCCTCCAACAGTTTGAAGGACTGTGACCTGGCCCTCTGTTTAAATAGTTTAAGGACCCCTGTTCTAAAGCAGTGGTTCTCAACCTGTGGGTCCCCAGGTGTCTTGGCCTACAACTCCCAGAAATCCCAGCCAGTTTACCAGCTGTTAGGATTTCTGGAAGTTGAAGGCCAAAACACCTGGCGACCCGCAGGTTGAGAACCACTGCTCTAGAACTTATTTGCAATTGATTCTAAGCAAGCACTTTCACTGATGGATTCTTCCATATTTATCATTTAACTTACCAAAAATATTAAACTTAGTACAGTGGTTCTCAACCTTTGGTCCTCCAGGTATTTTGGACTTCAACTCCCAAAAATCCCATCCAGTTTATCGGCTCTATGGAATTGTGGGAGATGATGTCCAAAACACCTAGAGAACTACTGCAGTAAAGCATAATGTTTTACCTGTCTGAAATTTTTTACCTGTCTGAGATTTGTGTTGGCTGTAGCCCCAAAATTATTATACCATCTAGACATTTTTGCATGCATGATCATAGTTCAAAACCTACGAACCATATCTGCATATTGATCTGTTTTTGAATGTCCCATTTCGCAGGGAAGCCGCACGCGAGTGCCGCCGGAAGAAAAAGGAATATGTCAAATGTCTAGAAAACAGAGTGGCTGTGCTTGAAAACCAAAACAAGACATTGATTGAAGAACTGAAAGCACTTAAGGACCTTTATTGCCACAAATCGGATTAATTTTAGATCCCCATTTTTTGGCTCGTTAGTGCAGGAGAAAGACTGGTTTGATGACAGCCAGAAAGACAAAGTGAACTTTTAATTTTCTAAACATTTCTGTTGTTTTTTTTATCTACGCGCAAAACTGCCTGAAAGCAACTGCAGAATTTAATTCGTCTGTGCTTTGCATTAAACTGTGAATGTTGAGACACCTGCCTCCACTTCCCCCTTCCCTGCCCCCAGATTATTTTCATCGCTAGTGTGAAGAGAAAATATTGACTTCCTCACCTCCCATCCTCTTCACGGAATGAGCATGTTCACTTCCAAAGTTATTGGATGAGGCAATATGCTGTAAGGATTTCAAGATGTAGCGTACTGCACTTGCCGGAAAGCCCCAGAGAAGCAGTCTCTGCTCTGAAGTAAACTGGTACAGGTATGATGCACCGAGGAAGCTATGGTTGCCAAATTGTTTCATGGTTTCTAACATCCATCCTCAAGACTGTACAGTTGCAGCTCTATATATATGGTGGAATGATGCCAAAGGATATATACTGCTTCGGGTGTTATAGGTAGCAGGGAGAGGACAGGTTGATGAACCCCCCCCCCCTTCTAGTTTTTCAAAGCTTTTCTATACGGTAAAATTGATGACGTTGATCTTCTGTAATTTGGGAAGAAGTGGTATATTCAGTGATATGCATTAATGTGCAGAAGTTACCAAATACCTTTGACGTAATGATCAATTCCTAATGACCAGTAGAATAGGAACAACAACTTCTAGGGGAGAAAAGGCACTGTTGTAAAGAATTGTTCATTAAAAGCACTACCTTTTTGTTTTGCTCCATCCAAAGGTGATGTTATCCAAGGCCACCATTACCAGAAACAAAGCCAACACAATGTACATTTTGGGTGAAGATGGAAAAACATGCAGCCCATTCTAATTCTATTATGCAAATACAGGTTTTTTTAAACAATCCCTTTTTGTATAGCCTTTAAATTATCATTTAATATAATAACCCCAAAAAGTAGCCAGGGTTAACCTAGGAATCAGAGCAAATGACATAGAAAAAAAATCTTGCTAAAAGTTTTATTGTGTACAATTGTGAAATGTGTCCGGTAAATGAATGGATCAAACACTGTCTTTCAATGCAGTTAAAGCCAACCAATCTGAGCAGAACCTTGGGATTATCAGTAAAGTTCAGCTACAAAAATTTAAATGCCACACTTGCAAACAGAAACATCTACATTTTCCCTGCAATACCTTGTAAAAAATCTTAAATGAAACATGACTACTGATAATTGAGGAAATTAGAGTAAGGGTTGGACCTTCATAGTCAATATGGAAACATTTAGTGAATGTGTTGTTGAAGGCCTTAGTGGCCAGAATCACTGGGTTGCTGAGTTTTCCGGGCTGTATGGCCATGACAGGAGGGAATGCTTCTGGAACATGGCCATAAAGCCCGGAAAACTCACAGCAACACATTTTAGAGAATGTAAATTTATTTTAATCTCTAATTTAAGCAGATATCTTGATCTACGTAGACATAGGTAATTAATGTATACAAGCCTCTGTATAAAATAAATAAATCTATTAATAAAGTACTGGATAATAGATTTTCTAAAACAAGAAACGCACAAAACATTTGAAAGATATTATTAGATGAGATGAATATCTATGGTCATATTACTGGCTAACCATTTAAGAGAAAGGAATTCTGTGGGGGTTTTTTTATTGTGTTGGAAGCGACCTGAGAAACTTCAATTCGCTTCTGGTGTAAGAGAATTGGCCGTCTGCAGGGACGATGCCCAGGGGACACTCAGATGTGTTACCATCCTGTGGTTAGCTTGTCTCATGTTCCCACATGGAAAGCTGGAGCTGACAGGCGGGAGCTCACCGCATCTTGTGGATTTGAACCACTGACCTGCAGGTCAACGGTTCAAACTCATTGTACCAGAGCAGGTCTAGGAATTCAGTTAACAAGTGTGATCCACAGAGTCAAATTTGATTTGGCTGTGTACAAAACATTTAAATAGTTTATAGAATTAAGAAGATTTCAAGATTCCCTTTAAGCAGCCTTTCAGAGGTCCTGTTTTTATTCACTATCAGATTTGCTTTCCAATCTGTAGTTGGTTCAAAAGGTGGACCGTATGTTTTTAAAATATTTTATATCTGGCTTGTAAGCTGCTATGAGCAAATTGGAGAAGGCAAGACAAAAACGTGTATTAATTACTCAATGCATTTTGTTTTGAAATTAATAGATTCTTACAAAGATTGAGGCAGACAGATTATGGAGAAATGAATTGCACAGTTTTTATCTGCATTGTGAGACTGGTTTGCCCGCCCCCAGAATTCTGGTCGAATCATGAGCTTTATTGATTTTTCAGAACTCATTCTTGTACTGATAGTTTCCCTGAAAACCATTGTATTCGGTGGTCATCATGTGAGATCTTTTTTTCCCCAAAATGCCTGTTTCTATGTCAGATAATCCGTTTAAATTGTTGTAGAAATTATGCAATAATTCATTATTTGTTTTACAAAGATAGTATCAGAAAAGCAACCACCCTCACTCTTTTGGCGTCCACCATAATTCATTGAGATTGTATTTCACCAGAGAGGCCACCAGCAAAATGGGTTATTATGGGGCTGCTGGCCCTACCTTAGATGTGGCCTTCTCAGGGTCCAGTTGGTTTGCCTCAGTATATACACCATTTGTAGTGTCACAGTATCTGGCTGTTCTATAGGTAAATTCAGGGTTTTTATTCTGGACTGTTTCACCAGCAATAAGAATAACATTTCAGTCAAATTTTATTTATCCAGAACCGAACTGTTTGGAACCTAGCATTCCTTATCAGTGATTCTCAACCTGTGGGCCTCCATGTGTTTTGGCCTTCAACTCCTAGAAATCCTAACAGCTGGTAAATTGGCTGGGATTTCTGGGAGTTGTAGGCCAAAACACCTGGGGACCCACAGGTTGAGAACTACTACCTTAAGTAGTATAAATTACATTTTTATTAACCCAAGCACAGAGCTGACTAGTTGACCAGTGTATGCTTTGCAAATCTAGTATCCAACAGAAGTGAAAAACAATGGGGGGGGGGGGAAACCCCCTCATTTTATATATTGATAATTTATTGAATTAAGACAAAGACCTGTGTTACTGAGCTGTTAACACATTTGACCCTTTGGCAGCATAATTGAAATTTTGCTAAAAGTCGGGCATAATTGATTTTTTTTAAAAGGCAGAGAAAGGGCTAGCACCATTGTAATCATCATACATAAATTGGTTTCAAGTACAGTTTTTGTATTTCACACAATAAAAGGTACCGTGCAGGTAATTAAAATATTGTCCAAGGTGCTCCTTTAAGAGATAATCTTGGGAAATGCTTATGTATAAAATATGTACATATATAAAATATATACACAGTATATAATCTATAGCTCTGAGAGCTTCTAAGTCAGGAATGCTGAGTATTATAGTATGTTAAGGTCAGAAAAAGAGGGTTTGTGTGTGTGGATGTATGTGGATGTTCATTATTAAAGCAGGTATGAGCATGCACAAGTACACACACACACAAAGTTTCTTTTCCCTTTCCCTTCCCTTCAGTACTATGAGATACATCGTTCTGGCGCTTATTGATATGTTGTACCTTTGTTTTCAGTTATTTTATTTCATTGCTGTTTATAGATATATATATATTTTGATAGTGAATTATCAAACAATGTCAACTGTTTAAAAGTCTTTGAATCCCCATATTCTTCACTTTGTGCTTTGTCTCTTGGCAGCTATACACTTTTATAGAAATAATAATAATTGGAAAACGTTGAAGTTGTATGAAGGGAACACAATAGGCCCTTTTGCTTTTTATTGTCCCCACTTATAAGGAAAAACAGCATAGCTCAGTTTTGTGTGATTGCTTCTTTTTGTGGCATTTCATAGCAGCTCACTCCAGACTCCAGCAGTTGTCAGCAATGTTGCGTGAATCCACAGCACACTTTTGCCCAGATCTATTTACTGTTTCTATAATATCTCAGTACCAGAAGTCACCATTTTACCCAACAGTCAATAAATATTCTTTAAAAAGTGAGAACACTCAGCTACAGCGTGATTAAACTGAAACATGTGATTAACTCCTTTGAATAATATTTATCACTGGACTCTCCTTCTGTAGAGTTGAATATTTAGTTCCTGTAGTATTCCTGAACATAAAATCAGAACGCTGGGGGAAATTTCCGGTATTGCCGTCTTCCTCTGACATTTTCGTTTTTAATGTGTGGGAAGCTTTTTTACAAGAAGAGGCATTTAATATTTTACAAGAAGAGGTTTTAATCATGTGGTTTTGCTCTTGCTTAACTTGAGGAATTTCTGTCCTGCTTCTTTTGGACCTGTTCCGTTTATACATCTCAATACTCCAATCAGATGACTCTCAAGATAATTGTAAAAGGAGACAATTCTCTCAGGGTGATCTGCACAAGGCAGTACCAAAGAAGTTAGGAGTATTCCAATCCCCCTGATGTCAGTGGAAATGTAATAAAGATAAATATTTCATTATTAGAGTAGTCATACCATTAAAGGGAAATTCATATGTTTCATGTTATTGTTTGTCTTGCAGTTTGTGAACATAATGTTCTGGGAACCTGAGGCTAGAAATAGGAAATACTCAACTTTTTAATAGCTAGTGATAGAGCTTTATTATCATCTGACCTTTATTTTTTTAAAAGCACAAATTGAATATTTCCCAGCGGCAGTGGATATGGGCAGAGAATTGTGCCTAATGCTGAATCCTTTAGTGTAAAGTGAGTTCGTATATGTAGTACAAACCAATGCTTTTTGAATCTTTGAAGGTTGCTGTGGGTATGATCACACTGAGAAGCACAGCAAACACAAACAAACAAATGGTGCTGAGAATTTTGTAGCCTGCTCAGCTTCTAAGCCACTTTTCAGCTTCATTTCAAGATTAGAAATCAGGAGTAAGAAGCCAGAAATGTAAACCCAGGTATTTCAATGTGAAATGCATTTTTAAAAATTAATACAGACTATATGTAGTCCAAGATTGGCTCATAATTTTTTTAATGCATTTTATTTTTGGTACTGCAAAGTGCAGGTCTCCCACTACCCTGAATTTGTTTTTTTTTTTAACTGTTTCCTGTAGTCAAGAATTTCTGGGGTTCTTCCAGGTTTACTTTTGTAAACCTTGTTTACAGCTGCAAAGACTCTCATGGCGTCTTGCTACACACCTTCTTGCTCATTTTCTCAGGGTTTGCATACCATTTTCTTTCTATACAAAGAGTTATTGAGCATTTGTTTGCGGGATGTTAGGAATGAATCTCTAGATTAACTGTCAGGAATCTGCAGTAATGTGATGCAACAGTAACTATGTTGGTATGCTATTTATTTCTACATGTGGCTTTTTAAAAAAGCCTGAA